ACCACCCACCCACCCACCAACCCACCTTACAAAAGTTCCCCCAATGAGCCCCCTATTCCCGCCAAGCCTTGCACGCATCAGGCTGAACGAGGCATCGAGAACCAACCACCCGAGCTAGGTTTGTATACACGGTGTGCACATAGGTATCGAGGACGTAGGCCCGTATGTTCTCGGTGTATACCTTCACCGCCCTCTACCGCCCGCTTCTGGCTCTGGCTCTGGTTCTGGTTCTGGCGCTGGTGCTGGTCTAGTCCAGTATATTATCGCGAGTGCCCTTGCCTTTTTCTCTATGCGCAGTGCAGGGTTGGAAGTTGATGCTCTGTTTCGCCACTTCTTGTCTTGGAGCATGGTCATTTGGGCTCCTTTGAGCCTCAGTGCTCAGCGAATCAAATATTGCCGTGCGTGATGGTCTCGACGTAGAGTGGAACAGAAGATAACAGAGGCTGGATTCACGACACTTTCATTAATGGGAGGAAAAATACTGCATATTCCTCCACCGAAGCAATCCAGTCCGCCCTAATGTGATCAAAATTTGCTTTTCGTGCCATTGGAATGTACAGTTGCAAAGGGCTCATTCACCATCATGTCCGTCCCATTGCATCCACCCACCATTGGGGTTCTGACATAACTTGTCCGTTCTCCACGCTAAAGAAAGCACAATGAAATGCGCCAGCATAGCTACCAAAGCTTTCCATAGCCGCACACGCGCCAATGAGAACTCTAGTAATGCCGTTGCGATGATGGGATAGACCACTATCGCGTTCATGCCTTGAGACAGGCAAGGCTGAAGGGTGCTGAATAGTTTTACACCGAGTATGACGACACGGGTCGAAGGAGAGGTGATGGGCACGTTGAGGAAGTTGTAGACTCGATCGAGATATAGAGACAGAGTTGGCCGGTCAACCTCTCGTGCAGATTCAAGAAGGAGCTGTTGCCGGGTCGGCGAGTGGGTGGGAGACTTTTGTAATGGGGACGAAGGGAGAGACGATGAGGCACGTTTGGCCCGCAGAATCATGGTGCTGTTGAGCCTCAGGTTCGCCGACTCGCGTCGCGTCGACGTGGAGGCTTTATGTGCGCGTTGTTCGCGGTCTGCTTCGCTACCGCTCGTGTACCCGTGGTCGCTGAGTATTGCTTCGGATCCATTCGGCTCCTGAGATACAGATCTCGCCGACGGGAAAAAGGATCGCTTCGGTCTGGGACTCATGTCATGACCGTGTCTTCCTTGTGGCGAGTTTCCCTTCTGCGGTGTATCCAGCTTCTGGATCCGGCGGGCCGGCGTCAGCTCCTCCGGCTCCATCGAGCTCCGCCTCCGCACCACGGGGATGTCGTCGAGTCTACCTGACGAGACGACCTGGAGAACATCGTCTGCGCTGGGCCGCTCATCCGGGCTCAGGGACAGGAGCCGTTTGAGAAACGAGTAGAGTGCACGCGGCAACTCGGGACGTAATTTGCGCTGATCGTCAAATCCTCCCCAGTTGGTAATTTCTGCTCTCAATTCATCAATGTCTTCGCGCTCTTCATGAAGGACATTTGCCGAGTTGTAGGGGAGATTTGCAAAGCAGAGGAAGTGTAAAATCATGCCTAATGAGAAGATGTCCGACTTGGAAGTAAAGTTCTCAAAAGGCCCACCTGGAGAGATGCGTCGAAGCACTTCGGGCGCGCAGTAGGATATCGTCCCAGTAGCGCCAGTGGATTTTCGCGTTGCATACTCGTATTGAACTTCGCCAAAGTCGCTGACCAGGACTCTGGTTTCGCCACCGACGGTATGCAGGAGGCAGTTGCTCGGTTTCAGGTCCCGATGGATGAAGCCGTTGTGATGGAGATGTCTCAATCCCGAGGTAATGTCTTTGAAAAAGTTGTAAATTTCGTCAAAAGGCAACTTTTTGGGTTCATTCGCCCGCCGCGGAAGCTCGGATTCTCCCCTCGACTTGCGACGAATTCGTTCTTTTAATTCTTGCGTCGTCGTGGATGCTTGCGCAGAGCCCAGGACGTAGTTTTGCATGTCTCCGCCGTTACAGTATTGCTGTAGAATGAACGCGCAAGGCACACTAGGGCCAAAGGTGCTGGTTTGGAAATCTTCCAACCATACGTGGCGGTAAGAGACGAGATTTTGGTGTGATAAAGTCTGCAAAAGCTGGACCTCGACAAGGACCTTCTCTAACCACGCGTGGTCATCTCCAATGGGTACACGTTTGCACGCGAAATGGCCGAGGGTAACGCCGTCGAGGACGTGTTTGACCAAGAGCACAACCCCTCGGCCGCCTCTTCCGAGCTCTCTTTCTTCGATAAAGAACTTCTCGAAGTAGTTGGGCGAAAAAGCTGTCTCGGAGATTCCATGGGACTGACTGGCAGGGATTGGCGCACTGGCGATGAACTCTGCATTCGGAGGCGGAGACACGGCGGCTGACGAAGGGTGAAGCCGAGAGCGGACTGGTTGGACGATTCGACGTCGCGGAGAGGGCGGTGCAGATGGTTCGTTGGAGCCAGGAAGGCTTCGAGCGAGCATCTCAAAGTAGCCCTCTGTGATAAAGCTGGGTTGGTCTTCCATTGGACTTGGACCGGGTTCTTGGGTGCTCGAGGATCCTGGTGGTCTGTGCCAGGGTCGGCCACAGGTTGGACAGTCCGAGGAGCGCCGCTCTACATCTTGGTTTCTATGGAATGGGACAAGTTGGTTCGTTCTCGGGTCGCGGTAGACAATGGTGTCTGCGTGGCGGCTAGTCTCATCAGTTTAGTATTGCCCTTGTTGTTTGTGTTTCCATTCTCCCTGATGTGTGTCACTTACAGCACGACCTCCCGGTTGTTGTCGTAGGGGATGATGGAGAGGGTCGGAATGTGATCTACATTGCCGTCCTCCATCTTTCAAAGTCGGTCAGCAGCAATTGGGAGGAGAAGCACTGGCATCTGGAGGACGCTCTATTGGGTCTCGAGAAGCAGGCGCGACTTACAGCGGCGGTCGTTTCTGATTTGTGAGAGGACGGCGGGTGTCGAACAGGCGATCCAGTCAAGGCGGAGGACACGGCATCAAGCCGCAGGGTGACTTCTGAGGTGGCTGAAGGGGAACATGGTCCACAGATTCATGATCAAGGGCAGCCGGAAGATGGAGTCACAACTGGCGATTCGTGTTTGTTCAGTCGTGTCGTCTCTGGCACATTGTGATAAATAGAGATTCAACATTGAATGAGGTGGCGGAAATTGGAGGTTGGACGATCACGATGGAATTTCAAAGTCAAATGACGGTGGCAACTCGAGTCCCTCGTGGCCTTGCGCGCCTTGCATTATTTATCACAACCTCCCCATCTCCCCCGCCGCAAAAACAATCCAATTCTGCACGGTTGTAGCCCCTTGAGTACAAGTACACTTCATTCCCTTGATCCAACTGCACCCCACATTACGATTACGATGCTATAGCTTCCTCAATTCTGTCCTGGCCGTGGGAAGACCGGCACTGTGTCTACATTGTTTACGTCAAATCCCAGTAGCGTACCTTGGTTGCTATGCTGCCACCCCTGACCTGTCTGTTGATTGACAAACGCACTCTGCCGGAAGGGGTTGGTGCTTCCCGTCACGTTGGTTGTCACTGGACCTCCTCCTGATGTTGTTGGTCGGTTCTTTGCGAATGGGTTTGTGCCTGTTCTTTGAGGTTGCAGTGCCGGGGGTGACGAGAGGAAAGATGGGTTGGAGGGGAAGGATTGCTCGGGAGAGACAGGAGAGAAGCCCGCTTGGTCATGGACCATCCCTGCCCCGTGGTCGTTGTGGGAAATCGCTCCAGTGTTGTGCTTAGCAAATGGATTGGTCGACGACCGGACAGGAACAGCAGGACTAACAGGCGAAATTTGCACACCTCCAGTGTGCATCGTGGACTGTCGAAACGGATTGGTGGATGTCATCTGTGGTTGTAGCGATGCAGGCTGAGCTGGTGGAAAGACTTGAGACTGGAAGTTTGCCACGCCATTCTGAGGAATCGGCGATAGCTGCGAGGAAAATTGGTAACCGCCTGCTGACTGTGCCTGCTGCTGTGGTTGAGGTCCATATCCACCGAATCCCGCCCCTGTGAAATCTGTCTGCAGAGGCTGGGGTTGAGCTTGGGGTAGCGGTAGAGCCTGAGGTTGAAAAGTTGGCTGCGGCTGTAGAAAAGGATTGTAGCCCGTCTGTTGAGGCACAGGCGCTTGATGGTATCCGTGAACTTGCGGGACTCCTTGCTGGAATTGAGGCTGCGCGTTCATGTTGGTCTGACCCATCGTCTGCTGATTCTGCTCAATGGATTCAAAGAAGTCAATCAGATCAGGCGCTGGTCCCTTGGGCACCGATTGAGCCGGCTGTGGTCTGGCTGCGACTGAGGCCGGTGCTGCCTGTTTTGTTGCTGGTTTGTCGAATGGATTGGCTGATGGCGCGGCCGAAACTGGCTTACCCGTCCTTTTCGCTTCTTGCTGCGCCAGATATTGTCTTCGATTCAGTTCAAAGTCCGCATCTTTGAGATACTCTTCCAGGGCACTGGTCAGAGTTGTTGGTGCGTGCTTTAGTCTCGGGACCTCCAAGCGCGTTGACGTCTCATACTGTCTGGCTACACCGAGATATTGCACCACCAGTTCGGTCTGCCTTCCGAATGTCTTGTATATTTGCAATGCCCGTTCCGCGTCAGGACGAGACATTTCGAAGTAGTGTTCTGCGTCTGAGTTAGCTATGACGGTTTCTATCCGATCGCCTTACTCACCTAGAACATTGATGGTGCCCTCGTTCATCACCTTGAACAGCTCGAGCAAGTCCAAGGTCAGAAGACGAAAGGCCGTCAATGATATCTCATTCTCCGGGTCATGAGTGCCTAGTAACTGCAAGGGTGAGTCGAGTTTGGAGTCAGAGATGGTCATTCCAACTTACGTCGCATCGAATCAAAGCCTCTATTTGATCCTGCACAACCTCAGTCTGTCTCAATAACCCTTTCTCGACGGTCAATCTGCGCATCTTTCCCGTTCCTGACTTGACAAAGTCCGTCTTCGTATCTCGAAAAGCTCGTACTCTTTCCAACAAGTATTCCGAATATCTTCGAATATTGAGACCTTGGGTTTGGACTGTTTCCCTATTAGACTTTGCGCAAAGCTTCCTGGAGACATCTTGGTGTGTTCTGCATACCTTCGGTGAAGCTGCTGATTGCCAATCTCTTGGGTGACTCGGATATGTACCTCAAAGTGACCTCGGGCTGACCTTCTCTTATCATAAGATGAACCACAATTAACGCCTTGAATACAATCGTCCATGTCGAGTCTCTGAGTCGGAGTTGTAGAGTACGAAAGACTTCGGCGACACCTGATTCTCCGCCATTTGTGGCAGAGAGTATGGGCTCGATATACTTGGATTTGGGCGCGGCCAACTAGCACCCCGTCAGCTCTGTTCCAGTCGATTTCGCGCGGTCTGCGCGACATCCTGACCTTTATTTTTGTGGCGCCTTTTACAATCTTCTCCATGGTCATTTTGTCGGCGGTGGTGATTGGGGTTCTCTTGAGAAAGACGAACAAGGCGGCAATTGGTCAAAAACGAGGGCACGTTCCGAGATGTCCGCTCCAGGCCGGTGAAGTCAAGAGAAGGCAAGGTGAGGTTGGAGGGACAATTATGTTAGGCAGGTCGCCATGCTTTCAGAAGAACATGGTGCACGAAATGGCAGACTAGGATCACACAGCCGCAGAACGACCAGGCTTCTTGGGGTCGGACAGCGGTGACTTGTTGCTGTGATAACCGGGCGCAGTCGTACTAGGGAAGGCTGGTCGAGTTGCTCTGCGACAGTAATCACTGAAACGATGCACAGGCAGGAGAGTGTTAGGAGGAAGGGTGAGGCAAGAGTGGCAGAAACAGATGACAAGTCCTTGATGTATGTATCATGCCCCTATCACCATGGCGCCATTAATTTGAATCCGTGAGATGGTGTTGCAGGTTGGATATTATTATGGCGTTTACGGCGTTCAAGCCACTCGTTGATGACGGGCCGCATTTACTGGCTTTGACTGTTGAACCTGCCACCTGCGGCATCGGTTCTCGCCCCGAGCTTCCCCTGCCACCTCTTGGCAGTTTTGGTACGAGGTACATCCCCGGCATACCTACCGAATCTATTGGCACCTATTACTCGGTAGAGATCGACAGACATGAACCTCAATATCTCAACAGTAGATTTGGTCTACGTCGAGCTGCTATCGTGTGCTCTGTGCTTCCACCCCCGACAGTTTCACAGGTCGACCATACACCTCCACGCTCAGTATTTCTTCCCATCAAGTCCTCCTGCTTCAAGGTGTTCGGCGACCACCTTGACGTCTTGTCCTCCACGAACGAGAGCCGAATGTTGGAGCTTAAGCTCTTGGAACTTCTTTTCGGTTTCCCAGACGAATGGTGTCTTACTGGCAAACAGGAGATCGATCTGGGTATGCAAGTCAGATAACGGTCTTGCATAATTAATGCTGTTCAACAAGCCACATACCTCTTCCAATGTCCGGCAACTGGTCTCTGGGTAGAAACAGAATACTATGACGACAGCTAGCAGATTGAAGACGGCATGGATATAGAAACCCTGCGGGCCCAACGCTTTGAACATGACAGGTGCCGCGAGGGAGACAGAGCCACAACCCAGGCTCCAACCTGAGAGAACGTCTGTCAGAATCCATTTTGTGACCGGACGAATTCGACATACCAATGATACCAAATGCATTTCCTTTAGCTCGGATAGCAAGGGGGAAAATCTCTGACGGGTACACCCAGGGCACACTCAGCCACGTTGCCTGCATGGGACTTATGAGCTGGAGTCATGAACAGAAAGGTGAACTGAAATTACCGCAAATATGGCGTTGTAAATGAAGACAAATGAGCCAGCGGCGGCGCCGATTGTCTGGCTGTGTTTGTCCTCTCCGACCTTGGACAGAGCACCAAGGATGAAGAACGACAGACTTTGTCCAAACCCACCGGCCATAAGGACCTTGCGACGGCCGTAACGATCGATTGTCACGAAAGCAAATGCGCAGCATACCATGGTGACTAGGTTGGCGCAGCCTGTCAGGAGGTTTGCCTAAACCAAGTTGTCAGCAGGGTATCTGTAGGGATTGCCAGGGCACCTCACTTTGTGTGCACTGAAGCCAGCAATGCGGAAAAGTGTGGGAGCATATACCACCACACTTGTGACACCAGTCCTATAGCAGATGATCCAGTCAGAACTTGCAAGACAGCTAGCCGCACCAATCAACGTACCACGCCTGCATAATCTGCAGCCACGCGGCCAAAAATGCTCTCCGTCCGAGATGAAGATCGCCACTCTTGATTCCAGTGACTAAGTGGAAATAGCTCCGAGCCGGGTATTCAGCCTCCAATTCTAGACGCAGTGGTGGTTGTCAGCAACACTTCTATTCCTATGGGAGGTGGGAACTGACCGACGGCGGCGACAATCTCGTTGAATTCAGCTTCGACCTCTGCTTGGTTAATATCTCCTTGAGCGCGGAAGACTGCCAGGGTCTTTCTGCCACGTTCTTGCTTCCCATTGGCAATGTCCCAGCTGTCGACTCAGATCAGCACTGTTGGGTTTGAAAGAATGGATCCAGCCGACTGACCGTGGACTCTCTGGCATGAAGGGTATGATGAGCATCAAGGCAATCAGAAAACTGCTACATGTCAACGACCATTGTGAAGAGTGACTCAAAATGCTCACATGGTGACGAAAGCAAGAGGAACTGAGAGGATAAGTCAGTCGAGCCACTTGCGGACAAAATTCGTAAGGCTTACATCGCCACCGAACGTCGGTGTTTCCATGGTTTACAAAGCTCAGCCCATACTCGAGCCAGTCTATGACAATCAGCAGAGCAAATAACAAGGGATGGAGGTTTCTTACACGAGGTCGAGATTCCGGCAAAGTTGATGAACATTTCGAAGGCCATCACCATGCCTCGCACTTCGTGAGCGACAAGTTCCGAGCCCCAAACTGGAATGACTGCGCTGATGCAGCCAGTTCCAACGCCTCCGATCAATCTGGCGCAGAGCATCCAGGGAGCATTCTGAGCTGCGCTTTGCATCGATTGACCAAAGATGCCCCAAAGACAGCCGAAGAATATAGCTTTGCGTCGCCCTATCTTATCGGACAAGGCCCCGCCCCTGTTCAACAAAGCTCAACCTCTGGATCAGTCGTGATGGGAGTAAGCGGGCAGAGCTTACATCAGTGCTCCCAGGAGGGTACCGAGATAGTAGATGGAGACAAGACCACCTTGCTTTGTCGGCCTTGTGATATTCCCGGTTGCGCCATCGCCGATGTTGACCAGATCCTGCAAAATGCTCAGCGGTTTCTTTGTATGAGAGGGTCTCTCAGAAACACATACAATGTACGAGGGACTTATATTGACCCCGGACATGACGCCCTGGTCATAACCCTCGAACATGATGCCCAATCCAGCAACGAGGCACACGCTGGGACCATGTCAATTCAACAGAGTTGCCAGAATGCGAAGTGGAAGGAAATGGGACTTACGCCCACACCATATGACGTCCGTACAGAGGCATTTCTCGGTTTCTCTGGGGGTTGCAATTGTACAAAGAGTCAAGTCTCTACTTGCAGGATGTGTTGACGATCCAGACGTGGGGTACTGGGCCTCACTTATATCCACGTTTGCCATGGCACCGCTTTTCATCAGACTCGCCTAAATGAGGAGAGGGACGGGACAATGTTGGCATGCCGCAGCCGACGTCGACTCCCCGACTCTCACGCGATACTATGTGGCAGACGGGAGTATCAAAACGGCATCCGGCAGAATTGAACGGGGCCAGCCCGGGTTTGGAGGCGTTGCGATAGCCTATGCATGCCGGGGTTAGCGCAGATCATCCATGGATCCTTGCCGCTTCGGTGGGCCATGAAGTGGAAGTGTTATGGTCTCAGACAGAACTAGCAGCGTGAGTGGCCAGCTCAGCAGCGGGTACTTGGACGCAGGATCATCTTTTAGTGTTGAGGTATCGGTAGGGGTACCGAGTGACTTGAGGTACGTTCACCTGTCCCCCATCCTCCAGCGTCTGTCTTCCATTCACGTGGGCGATGTCTTCCGTCCAGGCTCCCCAATTAGATACGGTAAGCTTCTATCTATGTAAATACCTACTGATCTACCTACTTCGTACTTCATACCGTGTATGTATATGAAGTTGAATCACGCTTTCTCCACATCCCACTTGTTGGCTGTTGACCCCCGTATTGGAGAAGAGCGGCCCGTCGGCCGGCCGGGCATTGACCGAGCACCGAGTCTTGGGCGCCGATCTCCCGCACCACACAACGGTATGTATGATGTGACTATCTACCAACCTGTCAACCTACAAGTAGGTAGGTATGTATGTATTCGGTACGGACAGAATGTGCCTTGGTGCCTTGCTACTAGATTGTAGGAAGTGACAGTTTACGAGGTAGGTGCTGTACTGAGTCTCTTCATGCCAGCTGGTTACACCCCGCCTCCCTTACCCTTTGAATCTCCAGAATGGATAAGTAGTGTACCTCGTATCCTGGCGAAGAAAATCCCTTGGACAACCACGAGGTGCAAGAGAAGACGATAGCGACTGATGGTAGTCGACATCTCGAGTAATGTGAGTAATGCACAGAGAAGGGAGTACATCCTCAGTAAGTGTGGTGAGTGTGCCAACACCTCCTCTCCTCCCCATCGCCCTCCCCTTCTGTTATACCACACCCTCCGGTACAACCATCAACCTTGGCGACATGCTCCCCAGCAGACAAAGCTCTCCACTATTTGAACCCCGAAACAGAATCACATATAAGTGGAAGTCCCGAAAAAGTCTTTCACAATCGCAAAGACCCCTACTTTGGAAAGAGACTTATGAGAGTCAACAACCCTCACAAGAGAGAGAGAAAGAGACTTGCAGAAGTCAACACACTAGCGCTGGGAATATTGGGTTCAAAGTAGGCGATCCTCCGGTCCTCCTCCTCCTCCACGATTCGATCCTCCGGTCGTCGATTTCGGAAAAGGGATAAGTTATCAGGGAACCCTCCCACCGGAAAAGGCGGGGAGTTCAATAACTCCCGAAAAGAAATAGGAAAAAATCTGCCACAAGGCGGGTTTCACTTACCATCCACCCCCATAGCGGAGGGGTTGGGTGGCAAAGTTTTTGTCTTTGAGGGAGGGAGGGAGGAGTAAGGACAAGGAGAGGTGAGGGAAGGAGGTCGAGACAGAGAGAGATCAAGAGATTTTCTTTTTTATTTTTTGCGAGGCCTCATCTTTTGTGTGTGTGTGTGTGTGTGTGTGTGTGTGTGTGTGTGTCTGGTATTGTTGTGCCATAATTCACACGAGGACATCAGTGCATGAGTGAGTGTGTGAATGCTGTCTATTATACACTTCTCCGCGCCCAGGAGACGAGTCATTACACTGTATGCCCG